GGCGTACAGCGTCCGGGTCATGTGGACAGCATGACTAAGCCGCTTCTGGCGAACCACAGCAGCACATGGAAACGCCGTTTACCTTCCCGCCAGAGCGGTACCTATTTATCTACTTGCACTTTGACGTGCTTTCGAACTGCTAGGTTGGCAGGAGCAGGGATCGAGCAACGGGAGCTCACCCCGTCACGGGGATTCGAACCGCCGACCTTCCGATCGGCAAGTCCTAGGCTCTGTGGTTTAACCCACAGCGCCACCCACGTCCCTACTCAAAGCAGTCTACAAGAAGCTAAAACAATAAAAGTAAGAAAAAATTACAACCATACTTTAAAACATACAAAATTTAAAATACTATAAAACAGGTTAAAATTACCTCAACTTCCTAAGCATCTGAACAGACTTGTCTAAAGAGGAATGTTTTTAAGCAGGAGCCGAAAAGAGCATAGCAAAGGTACTTGCTTGAGATCAATAAGCAGGGAGTTCCAAAGTGTAGGCGCTGCATTAAAGTGATCAAGCAGGAGCATGTGGCGTAAGGCCGTTTTGCAGGTAAACTGGTCCCAAGTTGTTATGGACTTCATATGCTAATGGTAACACCTTGAGCAGCTGGTAGCGAATCGGAAGCCAGTGCGGATCTCTGAGCGCAAGTGTGATATGCTGAAGAGGCCTCACTCCCATCCGCAAATGTCCTGCAGCCTCTCTAGCTAGTCTTTGAGGATTTCATCAGGCCACACCTTGCCCTGCTCCTGCCACCTGTGTCACCCTTTGCACCCTCCTCGAGGGTTTTGCCCGGCTGGGATTCCTCCTCCTTGAACTCTGACAAATGGTTTTTTTGCTCACCTGGAATGAAGAGGAACAGGTGTGGAAATCAGCCTCCTGTGCAAAGGTATCATGCACACGCAGCCCACTACCAAAACCAGCACAATCACTTTTGTGACTTTGGTGATTTGTCCCCACAAAACACTTCATCACAGTTTCTTCCTATCTATTCAAAGGGCCCTTGCTGCACGATATCAAATGTAAGAATTCACTGATAAATGTATCTATGTACTGGCTCACTGGGAAAAGTTCAGAAATTCATATAGCCATGTGAGCTCAGCTACTCAGCAGCCCCTCTGCCTGAGTGATAATCCCTGGCATCTTGATACCTGAGTGCCGGACAGGTAGCCATTCCAGAAATAAGAAACCCAGATGAGGACAAAAGGGTGTGATTAACTTGGCTGGGAAACAGGGAAATGTAAATACCTCTTTTGTTACACTTGATGGGTGTTTGGTGGAGGGCAAGGGGAACCATGGGGCAGGGTCCAGGATGCTCAGATTACTGCCACCAGACCTCCCCTTTCATGATGTAACCGTGATGCATGAGTGATGTAGTTTGGGGGAGTGTAACATGGGAATTAGCAGCTAATAAAAGTTTGGGGGCTCTTTTGTTCGGGGCTTCCATCTTGTTCCACCTTGTGGCAGGTGGGAGTCCTGTCGGGACAGTCTTCAATAAAGACCAAACCTACTGGCTGCTGTTTTGCTCTGGTATTCCTGGCTGGAGTCCTTATTTTTAATCCAAGGGAGCCCTCAGATTTCTCCATTAACACTTCCTAAAAAATGGCTGGCTGCAGAAGCATTGCAATTTAATAATTTAAAGTGGATTAACGACCTTTTTCTTCAGAACTATAGGAAGGGCTTCGAAAGCCAGCTTCATTTCCTTTATTTGGTGCAGGTATTTTCAGACCCTCCAAGTGTCCCTGTTTTCCAGAGATGTCCCTGATTTAGAGAAGCCATGTCGGTTTCTGATTTGATCCCGGAATGTCCTGCTTTTCCTTAGGACAATCCTATTTTCATTTGATAAATGTTGGAGGACATGGAGATATCCAACCTCTGAGCCATCTGAAAGCAATCTTGTATAGGGAAGTTTTTTAAAAAGTTTAATTTTTTATTCTGTTTTTATATATGTTGGAAGCCGCCCAGAGTGGCAGGGGCAACCCAGTAAGATGTGTGGGGTATAAAGAGTAAAATTATCATTATGAAATTGGATATCCCTATTTTCATGGGAGAAATGTAGGAGGGTATGCATTATTTTTCCTGTAGAAACAGAACCCCATTTTTTCACCTCTACACACACAATACTTTTCATTGTTCTCTGAGATGTGGAGGGGAGGAAAAAGGAAAAGTGGGACATTCCGAGATCAGATCAGAAACTGGGACAGCTTCTGTAATTCCGGGACCATCCCTGGAAAATCAGGACTTTTGGAGGGTGTGTTTTCTACCAGCTGATCAAAGCAGTTTACAGACTATGAAGGTCAAGAAAAACAGCATCAGAAACATGATGGTCGTGCTACTGGGGCAGGAAGTTGTGGAGACATCCAGGACTCCAGAAAGAGCAGGACGGGCCCCCAACTCTGGAGGGATGGTTTACCGAATCTTAAAGTTAAGGAAATAACACTCCTCTTGTAAAGGTGATGTAGAAATGGCCTATAAAGCTTTAAACATGCCTCTCTGCATGTGAACTAACCTGGACCCTGACCCTGAGATCATCCTCTGAGGCCGTTCTTCGTGTGCCTCCTCCAAGAGGTCCAGAGGGTGGCAACACAAGAATGGGACTTTTCTGTGGTGGCTCCCCAGTGGTGGAATGCTCTCTCCAGGGGGGGCTCCTCTGGTGTTTTCATTACGTGTCTTTAGGTGCCTCTTCACCCAGGCCGTGGGCAGTTAAACAATCTATGGCCTTTTAAATATGTTGGGGGGCTGGGGGTGATATATAAATGTAATGCATAAATAATAATTGTGGAACCACCAAGTCCAGAGTCTAAAAGTACCTGCATCTATCCTGTAGCTACGGCACCTTCCAAAGCAGAAGTGCTCACTAAGTCTTGCTTGTTCCACGTAGAGTTCTTTCCACAACTCCAGCCTGCAGATTGTCTCAGATTAAAGTTTCCACCCCGTGCCTTGCAAGTGGTTTGCTTTGCACTCCATTTCCGAAATCCTCCTTATTGCTTTATCACAGCAACATCCACAGTGACGAGAAGAATGCTGTTAAGTGAGAGAGAATATCTAGAGAAATGAATAACAGAGTGTGGAATGGAGCATCTTGAAAGGGGCATGGCTGGCTTGCACCCTGAACAGGACTCCACACTGCAACACTTTGTTGCAGGTCTTCCTTGTAAGACAGAGTTCATAGAGAGACTCCAGTGCATATATAGCATACATCAAAAGGTCGTTTAAAGCACACAACTTCACCCAAATAATCCAGGGAACTGTATTTACCCTTCAAAGAGCTAGAATTCCTGACACCCTTAACGAACTACAGTTCCCAGGAGTCTTTTGAAGGAAGACATGTGCTGTACGCAGCCAATTTACTAAGTCAGCCCCCACTGAGGCTTCTACGAGGGAGAAGCATGACAATATTTGGGTCCCACCACTTTCTTCCTTCAAGCTTACGGTTATTTAGGTAACAATGGGTGCCTTTTAAAGGTAAAGGGACCCCTGACCATTAGGTCCAGTTGTGGCCAACTTTGGGGTTGTGGCGCTCATCTCGCTTTACTGGCCAAGGAGCTGGCGTACAGCTTCTGGGTCATGTGGCCAGCATGACTAAGCCGCTTCTGGCGAATCAGAGCAACGTATGGAAACACCGTTTACCTTCCGCTAGAGCGGTACCTATTTATCTACTTGCATTTGACGTGCTTCGAACTGCTAGGTTGGCAGGAGCAGGGACCGAGCAACGGGAGCTCACCCCATTGCGCGGATTCCAACCGCCGACCTTCTGATCGGCAAGTCCTAGGCTCTGTGGTTTAACCCACAGCGCCACCCGCATCCCTTTGCTTAGGTGCCTTTACTTCCACCCAAAAATAGTTTAACATAATAAAGATACATGTTCATTGCCTTGCATTTTTGCTTTTGTAGTGGAACAGAATGCCAAAACGGCGCTTGGGAATTGGGAGTTTCAGATCATCCACTTGATGGCTTCTTTTTATTATTTTTATTTATTATTTATTAATTTTCATTTATAACAATCCAACAAAAGGACTTGATGGCTTCTTTGGGTGGTCTTGGTTTTCCCAACCTCTGGAACAAACAAGGGAGTCATAGGGACCTACCCTGAAGCTCTGTCCAACAGCTACCTAGGGCACGTGAAACAAAAGGTTCCTACACCTCAAAGGATTCATGTTTTAAGGACCAAACTACAGCTCTTATGTTTGGAAAACCCCAACGACACAAGGGAAGGAAGGTGAATGTGGAAAGAGTCAGGACAGACAGAAGGGACTCCTGGAGATGATGAGGACCTTTTGCAGACAAATCAGATGATCTTCCTCTCTTTTCCCTTTCCAGCACCCCAAGGAAGTCCTGTATCTTATACAGAGGCAGCCAGAAACACAGAACGTGACTCCCTTTCAAAACAGGTTACATGGTTTAATGACGCAGCTCCCTACGCATTCCTGTTTCCCCAGATGATGCCAACACTGGATCCCCAGGTGGCAGGGCTGCAGGATGGGGGGAGATCACCCCCCTCTCTGAGACCTGCCCACAAATTTCTACTCAGCCCTCCTCTAAATGCTCTTCCTTCCTGGCTCATCCTGGCAGCCAGCTGGGACTTCCCTGGAGCGCTGCACAACCTCCGTGTGAAGAGCACCGCCTGCTGCCTCTGAACTTCATGACAGCCAAGGATGGGGAAATTGTGGGCCTCTAGAGGTTCACAGAATCATAGAGTTGCAAATGAATGAATTACAGCTAAATGTTTTGTTTGATTACAGCAACAGGGCCAGTTGTCTGGACTGACGAGAGTGGGGGGGGGGCAGAAACATCTGGAGGGCATGTTGACTAAGAGGTTAAGAAAAAAGTTGAGAGTATTCTTGAAGATTCAGTGCTTTCAAGGTTGACATAATATGTAGCCACACTATTTACTGTTGATCAACGCATTGCCAAATTAGAACTGAAACCCTTCGTGTATTTTCAGAATTTACAGACAATGATGTTGCTGGTGTGTGCATTTTGATGAACTGAGCATCATACCATTGGGTCTAATTAAATAAATGTTGATAATTTTATTAAATATTCAGGGTACAGTCATACCTCATGTTACGTTTGCTTCATGATACGTTTTTTCAGGTTGCGTCCTGCGACGACCCAGAAGTACCAGAAAGGGTTACTTCCGGGTTTCGCTGCTCGTGCATGCGCAGACATGCAAAATGACCTCTCGCGCATGCGCAGAAGCGGCGAATCGCAACCTGTGCCTGCGCAGATGCGCCGCTGCGGGTTGCATTCTATTCATGTTGCAAATGGGCCTCCGGAACAGATCCCATTTGCAACCAGAGGTACCACTGTAATGCATATTTAGCACAGCTATTTATATATTTTCTTAATGGGTCTATTAATGGATTAAATTTATTTTTTAACAGAGGATAGTCTGTTACTCCATGCACCTCCAGAAGATGTCCACTGGAATCACCTGCATATTTAAACCTACATCTGAGGCAGAGATCTTTCCCATTCACCTGCTACCTGATCTTTTCAAAAAATCCAGGAGCTGGAGATGCCATAATTGAACCTCGGTCCTTTTGCATGCACGAAGCAGGCACTCTGCACTCAGCTACAGTTCCTGCCTTAATCCTGATCTGCCTTTTGTCCTCCCTTAAAAACACCAGAAGGTGGATGCTGGATGAGGCCAATGGCCCATCTGGCCCAACCTCCTGTTCTCACAGTGGACAACCAGGCGCCTGTGGGAAGCTTGCAAGCAGGATTCAAGCACAAGAGCAACTCTCTCCCTCCTGTGGTTTCCAGCTATTAGCATTCAGAAGCATTGCTGCCTGACCGTGAAGGCACAGCATAGCCATGGGGGCTAGTAGCCATCGATCCCCCTCTCCGCCATGAATTTGTCCAATCCTCTTCTAAAGCTGTCAGGTGGCCAGCCCTGCCTCTTGGGAGAGCCAGTTCCAGGCCTCAACTGTGCACTCCATGAAAAGTCCTGCCCTAAATCTTCCAACATTCAGCTTTGTTGGATCTCCACCCTTGTTTCATGAGAGCACTAGGTGGCTGTCAGCTGGGCACCAGAGGCTCAAAACCTTATAGGACAACAGAAGCACAGCCTGTTGGGAGAAGGGCAGCTTTAATTAAGGTGCCTGAGAGTCATACAAATTAGACAAGAGTCATGAACACAGGAGGAAAAAGCATGCAAGTTATGCAGAACGATGGAGGATCCCTTCAGAGAGGGCAGTGCCCGATCTTCTTCCCACAGGGGAACATGGGCACCCAGCCCTGGAAGCAGCTGCTGGTTCATCACAATCCATCCCAAAGTCAGAGCTTCTGCCTTGTTGCTGTCCATCAGCCCCTCTGCCTGAAAAAGGCTTTTCTTCTGACAAGGAAAAGTGGAGGGTGGGGAAGATTCTGGGCTGGCCCAGTGCAGCGTGGATGGAGAACAGGGCAATGATGGGTGCCGGGTGCCCAAGGACGGGCTCAGTGGGTACAGGGATCAAGCGCAATAGAATAACCTCCCAGGGTCCAAGGCCTCTCCGTCAGAGGCACGCAGGTAAGCATGCAGAGACATTAGGGGGCTCCTCCAGCAAATATGAGCTCCAGAGCGGCCTGGATATCGCCCCCAGTGGCCTGGAGGGCTCGGAGGCTCAGCTCATCATCGTGGATGCCCATGTCCCGCAACTGCTGCAGCTGCAGCTGCCACTGGCTCTGTAGGCGGAAGAGAGGGAAGGAGCAGAGTTAGCCCAAGTCCCAACACAGTCAAGTGGGATGGCTGGATTTGGAGGGGCAGTGGGAGAGAACCAGAGCCAGGGCTGCAGAAGTTGGCACAGTGCTCTTGGGCAAGTCAGTGGTTGCCAGTTCATTTCTAGGCCCAATTCAAGGTGAATGTTTGAAAGCCCTAAATGACCCAGGCCCCAAATACCTGAGGCCACCTCCTTCCTTAAAGGCACTTTGGGGTGGGTGCTGAAACCAGCAGAGTTCCTCTGCCTGCAGGGATGGGGGACAAGGGGAGAGGGCCTTCTCCATGGTTTTAAATGTTGTGTTTAATGCTATAACCTGCCCTAGGACCTTAATCAATCAAGATAATCGTCTACCTGATCCACCTCATAAAGCTGCTCAGGGAGAAGGAGGGAGCACATGGAGGCTGAAGAACACTAGGCTTAACTCACAGGAAATCCCCAGGGCAAATCCAGGTCTGCCTGCAATCACCTCAGGCAGCCTCAGGCTTGGCTTCCCTGGCCCTGCTGGGGTGTCATGAAACTAAATGCTCACTTGAATTAGCTTCAAGCAGGGGAGACAGAGTAGGGGAGAGATAAAGAAATTGGGCAAGTTGCTAGCCCTGAGCCTAACCCATCTTGCGTAGGGTGATTAAAGAGGATGTAATGTCACCAGGCTGATTTATTTATTAATTACATTTCCACCCCACCCTTTCTCCCAAAGGAGCCCTCCTTGTAAAAGTGGCTTGTGGAAGCAGTGCGCTGCCCAGGCCACAAAAGCAAGGACGGCATCGGCCAAGCCAACTGCGCCACTGGGGTGGGCAGGTGCGCCTGAAGGTTACGGACCTGAAGGTTTGGCTGCCCGGAAGCCTGCAAGGCGTGCTGCAAGGCCTGGCTGAAGAGGTCATTGGTGATGGGCGTTCCTGACTGGACGCTGGAGGACATCGGAGACGTGCCTGAAGAATGCCCCTGGGAAAAGGAAAAGGAAAAGGAAGAGGAAGAAGAAGAAGAAGAAGAAGAAGAAGAAGAAGAACCTCAGGTTACAGGGCCCAAGCCCCAGGGCTTCTTCTGCCAGGCCCCTCCCACCCCTGGCCTCCAGCAAGTTGTCAATGAGGGGAATGTGGCCCTCAGCTGGAGAATAAACCCCTCACCCTTGGCATAGAAGCACATGTGTGTATACAGCATGGGCAGGAAACGGGCCTGCACCCCAGGTCTTTCTAATACCATAGAATCCTAGTTGGAAGGTCCTCCCAAGGTCATCTAGTCCAACCTCCAGGAATGCCTCTGGAAGGTGCCCAGCAGCATCCAGCCGCACCCCATGCTTCCCTTTTACCTGGGTCCCGGGGGTCGGAGTGTGGGAGCTGCTCTCAGGGGTACTGGCTAGAGCCAGGGCCGTCGCCAGTTCGCTCTGGGTGATGGGCCGGGGGCCGGCTGCCCCAGTGTAGCCAAGGGACGCTGGGCGGGACCCAGAGGTGCTGCTGGAAGGTGTGGTCCTTGTGCTCTGCAAGAGCAAAGAGGAAATGCTGCTTACTGCTTGCACAAAAAGGTTTGTTTCAACTGCACAGCTGACTCCCCAACCCAAGTGAGCAGAGACCAGGAGCGGTGCCTCCGGGTTCCATTTTATAAAGAGTGATTCTATTTCTGAACCAGCTGGGAACATTCAGAATCCCCACTAGAGGAGTCTCTGCCTGCCACAGAGACACCTGCTTCCTCGCTAGAAAGGAAATACTGAAGAGTTCCGGGAGATCTTTGGATGACTTCATAGACTGGCTGCATTCGCACATCAGGATAAGCCAGGAAGCGCTCAGCGCACTTAAGAGAAATTCATGGCAGAGAGGGCTATCAGTGGCTCCGAGCCAAGATGGCTGCACTCTGCCTCCACTGTTGGGAGCCATAAATGGTTCTGAATACCAGTTGCTGGAAGGGGAGAGGTTCTTGTGCTCGGATCCTGCTCGTGGCTTCCCGCAGAGACATCTGGTGGGCCACAGTGAGGACAGCATGCTTGACTGGGTGGGCCACTGGCCTGATTCTGCAGGGCTATTCTAACATTCATTCTGCTCCTACTTCACTTCTCTCACGATGCAAACAACAGGAGGAATCAGCTTCTAGACTCTTGCTATTTTTGAGTGCAATTCAGTTGCATCCTGGCAAATCCAGTCGATACAGAGCTCATCCCAACTGCCCAGCGTAAGAAAGGCCCTTCTGGATCAGACCTGAAGCCCCTGGGAAGCCCATCAAGAAGGCTGTTTTTACCCCAAGCACCTGGTATTTGGTGGTATAGGCTGTGTTTTGAACAAGGCAGCTCAAGAACTTGAGAGTCGGGGGCGTATGTCTTCGCTCTTGAGAGATTCCCATTCAGTGCTGAAAAATCTAAGTAGCACTTAATATTCAAAAGGCGCTCCAAAATATAAAAAACTGACAGCTCCCTCCCAAAGCTTACAAGTCATATTAAATTCAACCCCAACGTATTTTTCAAGGCAATGTGTGGTCTTGCTGCATATTCATTAATAGATGACATATTTCAACTTTTTGAACTAAAAGGTAAGGAGAGGGGACATGATCAAGGCATAATATTAGGCATAGTGCAGAAAGCTTTTCTCCCTCTCTCACAATCCTATAACTCAGGACCATCCAATGAAACCCAATTGTGAGCAATTCAAAACAAAATGAAACACTAGGAAGCCCTCCAAGCAGAGTGAAACTACTGAATTTGCTGCAAGAGGTAGGTATTGCTGCTAACCTGAGCAGCTTTTTGAACAATTTAGACACATTCATGGGGCATACGGCTACCAATGGCTATTTGCCAGGGCAACTGTGTGCCCTGAACTCTGTGTGCTGAACTCTGATAACAGAGGCCGTATGCTTCCAAATGTCAGTTGATGGCCACCACAATTGAGTTGAGTACAGTCGCCCTCCTGTCCTGCGGGTGGGCTTGTCAGAAGAGGCATCTTGTTGGCCCTGTAGTTTCCCACATGTCAGGAGCTCAGCCTACACTCGAGTAGGACCCTGGCAGAGACACATGCCCGACTGGCATGTTCCCTCTCTCCTGGTCGATCGTTCAGGAGGATCCGCAGAGTCTTCGCAGCTCATGCATGACAGACCTCAGCAACTCAGCATTTTGGCTAATCTACTTTATTTACATATAAACACACACAGAGCACTGCAACATGGCTCCCTCTCTCTCTAGCATCAGACAGTAAAAAGAGAACAAAGGAGAATAGTCCCACTTCATGGAACACAGTAACACAAACATCCTGCCTCTATCACTTCCCACTCTGTGGAGTCAAAACATGCACCGTCATGTGATGGACATAAATCCCAGGACTGCAATCATGGAGCAGGAATTCTAACAGAACAGGAGGCAGGACTGGATGGTCCTTTGGCCTTGTGTCCTTCACAGGGACACCCAACGCAACTCTCAGGTTTTTTCAACATTACCTGATGGAAATCGTCTTCATCATCAGAGAGACCTTCAAACAGGAAGCCACCTGCCCAAGAAAAGAGACCAGAGGGAAGGAAAGGGTTCTCCTCAAACTCAGGTACCATTCAATACCGACGGCACAAATTCTGATGTGTGAACTCCCCATTTTAGAATTACAAAACATCAGAAATGCACTACATTTGATACTACCATAATGGGTCTAATTACGGGTGGAGATGAATCAGCGTACGGGGGGAGGTTCAAAGAGTATCTACATGGTGCTTCGAGAATAACTTGCACCTAAATATTAGCAAGACAAAGGATATGGTGTTGGACTTTCTGAGGAAGAGAAAGGAACTAGCCCCGTTGTATAGCGGGGTGCGGGGTTGTGTGGAGAGAGTCTCTTCCTTTAAATTCCTGGGAGTTTACCTTAGTGAAGACCTCTCTTGGAAAAACAATATAACTCAGGTGGTTAGGAAGGCCCAACAGAGACTCCATTTCCACAGGGTCTTGTGAAAGAACAATTTTAAACAACAATTGATGACCTCCTTCTACCGGTCCACAATAGAAAGTGTCATCTCATATTGTATCACAGTGTGGTACGTTGGCTTGACATCCACGGACAGAAAGTCTTTACAGAGGGTGGTGAACACAACACATGATATCATGGGCTGTCCCCTGAGCCCGCAAGGGATCAATGCCTTAGGAGAGCGAGAAAAATTCTCAGGGACGATTCACACCCCGGCCAAAACCTCTTTAATCTTCTACCCTCAGGCAGGGGATACAGAAGTATAGTTAGTCGTACCAACAGGCTAAAAAACAGTTTCTATCCATGGGCTGTTAGGTTGCTGAACAGAAAATAATATAGTGCAACGGACTTTCAGGCTTGGTGTGTTGTGCGACAAGCACACAGAGCGCAATGAGATTGAGTGTTTGTGGGGTGGAGGGTGAGGCTCGGTTAATTTCATTGTACACAGGTTGTTCACTGACAATAAAGGTATTATTATTATTATTACATTTGCTTCTCAGCCCCTGAGAGATCTGTGCCCCAAGTGGGAGTGCCTCACTCACCTGGCATATCCCGGTAGGAGCTGGAAGGCATGCTGCGCGAGGAGGTCTCTCCCGTAGGCAAGGGGGTGCTGCTGGCCACGGAGTGGAGAACCAGGATAATGGCATTCACCAAGGCAGGGTGGGATGGGATGAGCCTAGAAAGGGTGGCAAGAACAAGCAAGCTGGGGGAGGCCCAACAGCCACAGAACCCTCCAAGGACATCTACCCTGGCCCCACCAATGGCAGAAACCAGCTCCTACAACAGGAAATCTGTTTTGTCTGTGAAAATCTTTCTCTGGAGTGACTCAGGAGGACACCAGGACTCAGGTCTATGATGTTTAAACAAAAACTTACGTGTCCAACATATTCGGGTCAGCAAAGACAGAGAAAAGATCCTTATCCTGCAAGACACCTGTCAGACAACGAAATTATTGTAATCAACAAGAAAAATCTGCAACATCCTATCCACTAAGAAATATTATTATTATTAAATATACATACTGCAGAATTTACATACTTCAGAAGAAAACTTACCATATATACTTCAGAAGATCTCAGTGTGGTGCACAGGAATATGTGAGCAGTGTTAGAAACTGATACAGTGAAACCTCAGGTTGCAAACGTGATCCGTGCAGGAGGCACGTTCGCAACCCACAGCATTCGCACCCGCAGCACCGCATCTGTGCACGCACGGGGCGTGATTCGGCACTTCTGTGCATGCACAAAGCATGATTCAGCGCTTCTGCGCATGCGCCGAAACCCAGAAGTAACCTGTTCCAGTACTTCCGGGTTTGGCGCGGTGCGCAACCCAAAAACACATGACCTGAAGCATCTGTAACCCAAGGTACCACTGTATATGAAAGCTAGGAGCTAAATGGCACCATGAGCCTAGGTTATGGGTGCAACAGGAAAATGTCTAGGCACACTTTTTTATAACACGAATACAAAGCTGAAAATGAATGAACTGCAGCTAAAGTATTATGTTCATTTTTCACGTGGTCTAGTCCTTTCCCTGCCCACTACTCTAATATTCTTAAGAGAGTCTCTTCTCCAGACTTCAGAGAGTAGCTGAAAGTGGGGAGGCAGAAGAAAGTCCTCCTTTCCTTCCACTCTGCAGTTTTAACCTGCAATACCGTGGTCAGAGCTCAGAAACTACTAACACTAATGAAATTCTCTGTTGCAAAATACGCCTAGAACAATGGGAGTTTCGAACACCATCTGTGAGCCCTGTCTGAAACCGCAGGGGAAACCCCTCCCTTAAAAAGTGCAAACCTGAAGCCTGTAAGCAAAACATACCTAAACTGACTTGGCATGAAGCAATCAATCCTATCAGTCAGGAAGCCAAATATGATTGGAAATCTCATTAATTTAGTGTTTTCCTAGGGGTAGGAGTAGTGCAACAACATTTTGCTGCAGCCCCAAGCACATTTACTTAGAAAGAAGATCCACTGAAACCACAAGGACCTCCTTCCAGCTGAAAGTACTGAAGATTAGAGTACTGAATGATAGAACAGCAGAGTCATCTAGTGCAACTCCCTGCAATGCAGGAATCACAGCTAAAGAATCCGCAGCAGATGGCCGTCTAACCTCTGAGGATACAGCAGAAACACTCCTGGATCAAATCAATAGTCCTCCTTTTCCAAAATCCTACTTCCCAAATGGGTGTACCCCACTGGTCCCGGCCCCCCTCCCTGAACTTGTATTCAAGGGTTCCATCTAATCATCACCCCCTCTATTTCCAGTCTACAGAGGGAGAGCCCTGTCACTTACTTTGCCATCACCCACCAAATTGGCACCACTCTTGAACAAGGGAGAAGTCCAAGAAGACTCAGAGGAACCCCAAGGTATGCATAAGTACATTTTGGCGGGGAGAACCCCATAAAAAGCCAGCCCAATGTGGACTGAGCGTGCTCAGTGGGCATAACATGCTGACTGACCACCTGGTTTGGGGAGGGGGTCAGAAAACTGGATGATAAGGTGAATTGAAGGCAGTATCCAGACAGACAGAAGGCAGGCTGGCAGGCCTGATTGCAATGCTTCTAGTACCTGTTGTAGGTGGTAGGAGGGGTTTGAAGAAGACAAGACGGGTTGACCTCACACAGTTAAACCCTAAGTGTCAAACTTTTGCCAGCTCAGATATGACAGCCTGAGATAAACGCAGAATGGCAGTGTCTTTGCCTACACACCAAGCCTACCTACCCAAAGCGACTGGGTCGCTGCTGAGGCCAGGGGTAGCAACAATGATCTGATCGAGCGACTCCTTGTTCCCCAGCATCTTGAAGACCTGCGTGGGGGACACAGAGAAATCAGCAAGGCTGACAGAGAAAGCCACATGCTGCCTTTGAGAACAGCAGCCGCAACGTATCGACGCTTCCCACTTCCCTGCGAAAGGGGCGCAATGGGCCCAGGAGGAACAGATTCAGCCATGCTCACCGAATCCCTGAAGACAGGACTGCTGTGCAGAGCGGTGTGCAGAACCCGGAACTCCCGAACTGCGGCAGCTTTGTCCACTGGCTCTGGGGGGAAGAAGGGCAGAGCAGGAGATCAGACACTCGGTGGAATCAGTCAGCAAAAGGCGACAGCAGCAGCAGCAGGCATCCATGAGACAAGGGTCAAGCATATTCTGCAATTCCACTGTCTGAGGTGCCAGAAGGGGACACAGAGCAGGGACTTGATGATGCAGGGACATCTTGGCCTTCATGCACCGGACCAGTGGTTCCCAAAGTGGTTGGTCCCATCCCTGCTTACCTGGCTTCTGTTCTGGCTCTGGCCAGGACTTTCGGAGGACGTGGACTGTGGAGCCGGACTGGATGCCATAGAATTCAAGTGTCTGGTCATCCCGCAGCTTCCGTCCACAGTAGATCAGATCTGAAAGGCAGGCAGTGCAGCATGGAACACGTGAAAAAGCTGGGCTTGTGGCCCGGGGAGGTACCAGCACCATTTTCTGAACCAGAGCTGGACAACATGGTGCCCCCCTCCAGATGTCTGATTGTTTGTTTCATAAAAATTAATACACTGGTTGATTGTAAAAAGAAAAAACCCTGAAAGCGCTTTGCAAAAAGGTAAAACATAAGATCAAGATCAATTTTCAATTTACACGAACATTTTAGCAGAGACCAAAAGGAATACAGTGAAGGTGCCTGCTTGAGATCAATAGGCAGGGAGTTCCAGAGTTTAGGTGCTGCCACACTAAAGGATCGAGTTCTTAAAAATGTGGAGTGGGTCTTATGTGGCGCCTGTAATTGGGTGAATTCCACCAATCAAAGCTGTTGAATGGGCACATGCAGGGCAAGGAGATCGCATGGGCACACTAGTCCCTAGTTGCTAAGTGCTTTCTAGTAACACTTTGAATTTGGCCTCGTTGTTGGAGTCCCAGTGGTCAGGGATGGTGGGAGCTGGCGTTCAACAATGGCTACACCTGCACGAAACAGAGTGGTTAGCCTTGTCTCTGAGAGACCTGGATTCTTCTTCCCTGGAACTCCAGGAACTGTAGCTCAGTGAAAGGAATGGGGTGCAGATCTCTGATCAACTTTCAGCACCCTGAACAAACTACATTTCCCAGGATTCTTTGGGGGAAGCCATGACACCGCTTTAAATGTGTGGTGCAGGTGTGGCCAGGGCATTTCATGACCTTGAGTTCTGATGATGGTGATGATGATATGGCAGGAAGTTAAGAACAGCAGCTCACCAATGAGTTCCGGGTCGGGGACAGATTCCTGCAGCTTCCCTGTGATGAGCTGCTTCAGGTAGGAGATGCTGCAACCCCCCAAGGGCCACTCGCCCAGCTCCGTTTCTGGCAGGCGCAAAATGGACTTGGGAGCCAGCGGTTGATCTGCCAGCTTGACTGCGATGTAGCACTCAGAGAGAGCCATGGCGTCCGATTCCCTGGGAGGACTTGGTCCGGTGAGGCCCCAATCTGAGCTCCAAGTGGAATCTGTAAAAGGAACACAGGGAACTGCTTTTTACTGAGTTAGACCATGGGCTCATTGAGCTCAGTACTGCCTACACTGCCTGGCAGCAGCTCCCCAGAGTTTCTTTTTTTAAAAAAAATGATGTTTATTAAAAGTTTAAGAATTACAGAAGAAAAAAAAGAAATAACAATAAAGTAGAAAAAAACACTAACAAAACACATAAAACATATAAAAACCATACAATAGTACAGGGAAAAAAAAACAGACAAAAAAGAGAAACTAAAAAACACAACCAATATTCCATATCTTTACCTTTCCTTAACTTATTTCATCGACCTCCTCACACCTCCCTTTTTTTGTATTCTAGTTCAATTCACTATTTCAGCAAGTTCTTCCCATCTTTCTCAATTTTGATTCTATAGTTTTAACAATCTAACCTTAAATTTTTTCAATTTAACCCAATGTCAATCAACTTTTACTTAATTCTTTGTTGCATTTCTACTAAAACCATGTTAATTCATTCCCGCATCCTTCTAACACTCATTAATTTTACAATGTTTCTGTAAGTATACTTTAAATTTTTTCCAATCTTCTTCCACCGACTCTTCTCCCTGGTCTCGAATTCTGCAGCTCCCCAGAGTTTCAGGCAGGGGTTTGCTTATCTGGAGATGCCGGGGTTGACCTTGGGACTTTCTACATGCAAAGCAGGTACTCTGCCACTACGCTACAGCCCTTCCACGTAAGGAATGTCTCCTCCAAGGGGCACCACTAACCATGGTGTAACCTCCCTCCCAACTGCCCTTAGCACTGGTTGGGTGCAAACTGTATCACCTGAGCTGCAAAACTGATTCCATGCCCTCACCTTGGACATCAATTCTAGGCCAGAGGAACAAGGACAGCAGTTGCAGACCTCACAGCACACCCAGCTGCCGGGAGGTCAGACAGGAGTTCAGAATAAGCTCAGGCTTGCAAGAGAGGTTAAAAATAATTTTAAAAAGGTTTCTCAGGCTACTTTCAAAGCAAGAGGAAGAAAAAGCAAGACGCAGGTCCTCTCTGTGAAGATGACAGAGAAATGCTATTGGGGGACGGAGAGAAGGCAGAACTGCTCAACAACTACTTTGCCTCTGTCTTCACCCAAAAGGAAAGTAGTGCCCAACTTGGTCTATGAGACTTAGAAAAGGATACTGTGATTACTAAGACCTAGCATGAGTTTCTCAAAAACAAGTCATGCCAGAAAAATCTCACTGCTTTTTTTGGATAGTTACAAGATTGGTGGATCATGGGATTACCATGGACGTTGTGTATCTTGATTTCAGTAAGTCTTTTAGCAAAGTCCCCCATGGTATTTTTGCGAAGAATCTGGTAAAATGTGGGCTGGATGAGGTTACTTTTAGGTGGATTTGTAGCTGGTTGATTGACAGAACCCAAAGTGTGCTCACAAAGGGTTCCTGGAAAAAAGGGACAAATGGGTTATTGCAGAGTTCTGCCTTCGGCCCGTTGTTGTTCAACATCTTTATAAACAACGTGGATAAAGGAATTGAGGGGTGCTTATCTAATTTGCAGATAACACCAAACTGGGAGGGGTAGCTAATGCCACAGAGAACAGAATGACCTTAACACTTTGGAGAACTGGGCCCAAACTAACAAAATGAATTTAAGTAGGGACAAATGTCAGGTTCAGCACTTAGGCAGGAAGAACCAACCGCACAAATATCAGGTGGGGGACACTTGGCTTGCCAGTAATACATGTCAAGTGGATTGAGGGGTCTTAGGAGACCACAAGCTTCACATGAGTCAACTGGAATGGGTGCAAAGGAAGGTAACCGAGATGGTCAAGGATCTGGAAACAAAGCCTTCTGGGGAACAGTTGAGGGAGTTGGGGCTGTCACATGGAAGAGGGAGCATACTTATTCTCTCCTGCTCTGTAGGGTAGGACTCAAACCCTACAGAGTTACAAGAAAGGAGATTCCAACTAATCATCAAGAAGAACTTTCTAACAATAAGGAAGTTCAGGAAGAACTTTCTGAGGGTAAGAGCTGTTGACTGTGAAATGGACCATCTCAGAAGGTGGTTGGCTTTCCTTCCTTGGAGGTTTCTAAGCAGAGGTTAGATGGTCCCGTATGCTTTAATTGAGATTGCTGCGTTGTAGGGGGTTGGACTAGATGACCCTCAGGGTTCCTATCAATCTAAAGTTCTATTATTCTATGCCTCACTACTAGCTACAGTTAGGGGTGTTCAGAAATTAGTATTTCAGGCAGGGGTCTCTCTCAGCCCTATTGAAATTGCCAGGGATTAAATCTGTGACCATCGGCATACAAAGTATGTGCTCTAGCAATGGGCTACAGCTCTTCCCAAAGGAACCACATAACTGCAAAATAAACCCACTTATTTATTTTTTTCTATTAAAATGTGACCTGGGCGCTGCAGGGAGTGTGTCTTATTATGACCAAGGAGAGACCAGTGCTTTAGTTGCCTAGGGTTGCCACTTGTCTTGTATAATATAGGACTGTCTCCTATTTCAGTTTCATTTTAATGCTATGTCCTGTATGGATACAGTTTTGTCCTGTATTTCAGGTCTTTTCTCTCTCTCTCTCTCTCTCTCTCTCTCTCTCTCTCTGCCAAGTTAGGGATCCTTTCCAAATACATGAGTTTGAAAGGGTGTGTGAAATGTCATGTATTTCAGCTGTGGATAGCCAAGCACAGATAGATTTACAAATTCATGTGTATGTGTGTGTGTATTTGCGTGTGGCAAATTCCAGAGGGGCCATACTGTTAGGCTGCAATAGAATTTATGGAATTTACAGCATGCTATGGTTTAAGAGAAAACTACATGAAAATGTTATATAGATGATATCAAACACTGAGTAACGCGGGTGGTGCAGTACTGGGACGCGGGTGGCGCTGTGGGTAAAACCTCAGTGCCTAGGACTTGCCGATCGTATGGTCGGCGGTTCGAATCCCCGCGGCGGGGTGAGCTCCCGTCTTTCGGTTCCAGCTCCTGCCCACCTAGCAGTTCGAAAGCACCCCTAAGTGCAAGTAGATAAATAGGTACCACTTTATAGCGGGAAGGTAAACGGCGTTTCCGTGTGCTGCGCTGGTGCTGGCTCGCCAGAGCAGCTTCATCATGCTGGCCATGTGACCCAGAAGTGTCTCCGGACAGCGCTGGCTCCCGGCCTCTTAAGTGAGATGAGCGCACAACCCTAGAGTCGGACACGACTGGCCCATACGGGCAGGGGTACCTTTTTAACACTGAGTAAATAGTCAATAATGTATAAATCAAAATCAAATAAGTGTTGGGAATGCAAAGAGAAAAAGCATATTTATCTTGTAGTAAGGTTAAAGCTTACTGGGAAATGATCTACAATGTATTGAAAAAGATGTTTAAATTAACATTTGTAAAATAACCAGAAGCTTTCCTTTTGAGAATTATAGGGGTAGAACTACCTAAACAGTATAGAAATTTATTCATGTATGTGACTTCAGCGGCAAGAATGTTACTTGACCCAAAATGGAAAGAAGTCCCGACGAAGGAAAAATGGATACAAAAACTTTTGGAATATGCAAGAATGGTGAAACTTACCAGAAAAATAAGAAATCAAGATAACAAACTTTTTATAAAAGAATAGAAATGGTTTGTTGAATATTTATAAACTGTAAACAGATATGGCCATTGGCAGGATTCGTTATACATCTTTAGGTGCCAGGCAAAAACGTTCCTTTTTAACCAGGCCTTTGGTTGACCTGATCAACAGCCTATACTCTTTTAAAATGTGGCTCTTTTTTGGAGGGGTGTTATTGAGTTATTGTTTTGATTTTATATATTGTGATCTTTTCTGTGAACCGCCCTAAGACCTCTGGGTACAGGGCAGTAAATAAATTCAGTCAATCAATCAATCAATAGTCATAATCTGCAGTTTTATAAGAGCATATATTTAAAGTAGATGAATAAAATAATAAGTTAATTTAGAATATGCAGGAAATGTAAAAAAATAAATTTAAGGAACCACAGAAAGAGGAGAAAGGAACTCAAATTTTGAAATGTTAGAATGATTGTAAAGCTACTGAAATGTATATAACTGAAAATCATTATATATATATATATATATATATATATATATATATATATGAATGAAAGACGCGGGTGGTGCTGTGGGTTAAACCACTGTGCTGCTTGGGCTTGCCGATTGAAAGGTCAGCGGTTCGAATCCCCGCAATGGAGTGAGCTCCCGTTGCTCAGTCCCAGCTCCTGCCAACCTAGCAGTTCGAAAGCACGTCAAAGTGCAAGTAGATAAATAGGTACCGCTCCGGCGGGAAAGTAAACAGCGTTTCCGTGTGCTGCTCTGGTTTTGCCAGAAGTGGCTTAGTCATGCTGGCCACATGACCCGGAAAAACTGTCTGCGGACAAATGCTGGCTCCCTTGGCCAGTAAAGTGAGATGAGCGCTGCAACCCCAGAGTCGTTTGCGACTGGACTTAACTGTCAGGGGTCCCTTTACCTTTTATGTATATGTATACAGTGGTACCTCTGGTTAAGAACTTAATTCGTTCTGGAGGTCCATTCTTAACCTGAAACTGTTCTTAACCTGACGCACCACTTTAGCTAATGGGGCCTCCCGCTGCTGCCACCCCGCCGGAGCACAATTTCTGTTCTCATCCTGAAGCAAAGTTCTTAACCCGAGGTACTATTTCTGGGTTAGCGGAGTCTGTAACCTGAAGCATATGTAACCCGAGGTAGCACTGTATATAAATCTTGCAAGTTAATAACATTAATTTCTTTTAATGCTTCTTTCCCTATCCCTCAGCTAAAAGCCTGGATGTTCAATGTGATGGGATTATTGGGGAAATGCCTGGAATAAAGACCTCGTCTCTGTACTTCCAGTCTTCCAAAATTGTTCTCTGTGTCGTTCGCGACTGGACTTAACTGTCAGGGGTCCCTTTACCTTTTATGTACAGTGGTACCTCTAGATGTGAACAGGATCCGTTCCGGAGGCCCGTTCACATCTAGAAGCAAACGTAACCCGCATCCGCGCATCACATTTTGGCACTTCTGCGCATGACATCATTTTGAGCGTCTGCGGGTTGCCGCGAAGCGCAACTCGAACGTGCTCATCTTGAAGCACATTCAACCCGAGGTATGACTGTATGTTGTTGTTTAGTCATTTAGTCGTGTCCGACTCTTCGTGAACCCATGGACCAGAGCACGCCAGGCACTCCTGTCTTAAATATAATCGTCTCCACCCTACCCTGTCCCGTATTTTGCCAGAACAAAGGCGGCAACCCTACAGTTGCCCCCCCACCCCAGTCCTTGAAGCTCTCACGGAAGAAGAAGAAGAGGAGGAGGAGTTTGGATTTGATATCCCGCCTTTCACTCCCTTTAAGGAGTCTCAAAGCGGCTAACATTCTCCTTTCCCTTCCTCCCCCACAACAAACACTCTGTGAGGTGAGTGGGGCTGAGAGACTTCAGAGAAGTGTGAAGCTGGCCCAAGGTCATCCAGCAGCTGCATGGTGGAGGAGCCCTGGAGACGCCAACCCGCGTTTCCCAGATTGTCGAGACTTCACCGCCTCTGTAGACCACTACACTCACAGGGCTTGGAACTGCTCATGCTCGCTAGCCTATGGTTGATGGGGCATAGCTAGCAGGAGTAGGGACAGGGGATCTCTCAGCTGCAAATTCCAGCTGCCAACTGCTTCGGTGCTCATAAGGAAAGAGTGCTGCTAATATACCTCACAAAGCCCAATCGCACGACTTCATCTGGGTGGCAGCTCTTCATGACACATTCCTGTGGAAGAGCCATTTTGGCACCACTGAGCAGCCTCAGGACTGATTGCTTTGACAGGTGGTAGGTCAAGCAGATCCTGAAGAAGAAGAATGAAGAATGAGGAGCTGAGGAGGCTAGCTTGGTTTGGATTTGATATCCCGCTTTATCACTACCCCAAGGAGTCTCCAAGCGGCTAACATTCTCCTTTCCCTTCCTCCCCCACAACAAACACTCTGTGAGGTGAGTGGGGCTGAGAGACTTCAGAGAAGTGTGACTAGCCCAAGGTCACCCAGCAGCTGCGTGTGGAGGAGCGGAGACGCGAACCCGGTTCCCCAGATTACGAGTCCACCGCTCTTAACCACTACACCACACTGGCCCACTGGCAGCCCCTTCCCCCTCTCAGCCTGGCCCACCTCGCAGGGTTGTTGTGGCGCGGATAAACCGGGGAGGGAGAAGCGTTCGGCTGTCCGACTTGAGGCCCTTGGAGGAAAAGGTGGGCCACAAATGCCCTAAACAACAACAGAAGCCCATTTTCCTACAAAATCCCCCCTCCTTGCTCTGCCTACCGGGATGTTTACAGCCGACGGTCTCCTCCAGCCGGAAGCGCTTCCCTGACCCCGCGCGAGGCATGCTGGGGAGTGGAGTCCGCGCGGAGGAAGCGGCCTCGCGTCTCTCGCCTGGGCGGCCGGAGAGGGAAGAGGAGGAGCGACGGTAAGCTCCGCCCCCTCGTCAGTCGATCCGCAGGGCATCCTGGGAGCGGCGGTCCCAGCTCGGATGGTTGGGGGGGGGGGAGACACTTGAAGCCCGTGGATCGGGATAGAGCAGCGTCGTGACGTTAAGCGCCCGAGCCAATCAGAAGAGAGGAGGGTGCCAAGGAGGGGCCAATAGGCCGGCGGGAATTCGGAGCTGCCGTGAGTTTAGAAAGAATCTGGGCGAGCGATGTTTCTAAGGCGCTTCTCTTCCTCAGTTACGGTAGTTGGAGGTCGAGCGCCTTTCGTCCTTGAATTGAGTTTTGCTTTTATTTTTAATGTCATTAGTGATTGCTTAAAGGAGTTGGAAGAGTGCAAGCTTTCCTTTTATATATATAATTTTTATTAATTTTATTCTGTTTTACTATTTAGAATACTCATGTAAACATCCTTAAAATATCAGTGAAATTCTTCTCTTTCCATGGTTCATTTTGCATATCTTAAATTCCTGCATATTTTACATGAACTAAACCATTCAATATTCAGTTATTACATCCATCAAAACTTATTTAAATTGTTGAATTTATCTTAATGCTGCCAACTCAAGTGTACACAATTTCCCCCCATATATTCAATAAAATTTTTCCAATCTTCTTTAACCGTATGTTCTTGTTCTCTTATTCTATATGTTAAGTGCGCAAACTTTCCTGAGTTGCAGGCAAGTGGGTCTCCCTTCCAACTCTGAGATTATACCATATAACAGAAAGAAAGAAAGAAAGAACCGTGAATCACCACAGCCTAGAAGGACAAAGGCACAAGCATATTGTATCTGGTGACCAGTCCCCATTATTTGCATGATTGCCTGTTCTTAATAAAAATCGCATTATTAAAAGAAGTACAGTCATACCACATGTTACGTTTGCTTCAGGTTGAGCGTTTTCAGGTTGCATCCTGCAGCGACCTGGAAGTACCGGAAAGGGTTACTTCCAGGTTTTGCCGCTCATGCATGCACAGATGTGCAAAATGACATCATGCGCATGCACAGAAGCGGCAAATCGCAACCCGCGTGCAGAAGCGGGTTGCGTTCCTTTCAGGTTGTGAACGGGCCTCCGGAATGGATCCCGTTTGCAACCAGAGGTCCCACTGTACAAAGATACAGCGCAGCTCCAAGACCGATGAAGTCTTGACTCATACAAGGATTGTCTTTACAAATCATTGACTGGCATAAAATGCATCTTGTTTTGCAAACGCAGCAGCCTTTGTGCCATTTGCAGGGGCAGCTTACCGCCCCCCAGCACCCGGCCTTGCAGATGCCTGGTTTGCAGAGTGAGTGGGCTAGGCTGGGGGCAAACACCCTCCCATGCCCACTTCCCTCAGCCTAGGCTGGAGCCTCTTTTCCTGCCCTCTCTCGGAAAGGTGGGTGGCAGCCCCTCCTCTCTTTCGTCACATGTTCGCATGTTCCGACAAGAGCGGGTGGCCAGGGAGCACGGGGGACGGGGCGGGGGTGCAGCTGGACTTTGAAGAAAGCTCCACGGGGGAGAGTAACAAAATGGTTGCTGCTGGGCCATGGAGTAACAAAACGCTGACAGAGTTGGGGGCACAATGGGTGGAGCATCATAAAGAGCGGAAGAAGAGGAGCGCCAGATGCCCCTGTCCCGAGGGGAAAGGCACATCAACTGCTGTCACAGAGATGCTGCTTGCACCTCGAAAAAAAGGGGTGGGTGAAGGGTCCAATCCTGACACACAATTAAGTGCAGGCCTCTTTTAAGTCCCTTACCTTTCCCGCCCCGATCTGGCCACAGTGATCCATGCGACAGTCACCTCCAGGCTTGACTACTGTAATTCGCTCTACGGGGGGCTGCCCTTGAAACTGTCCCAGAAACTCCAGCGGGTGTAGAATGCTGCAGCGAGGCTCCTCACAGGGTCCCTGCCATGGGAGCATATTCACCCAGCACTTTACTAGTTGCACTGCCTCCCAGTGGAGTATAGGGTCAGGTTTAAGGTGCTGGTCTTGACCTTTAAAGCCCTTTGTGGCTTAGGGCCCTCGTATTTACAGGACCACCTCTCCTGGTATGCCCCGCAGAGTACCTTAAGGTCCATGAATAATCATAGTTTAGAGGTCCCAGGCCCTAAGGAAGTCAGTTTATCCTCCACCAGGGCCAGGGCCTTCTCAGTGATGGCTCCGACCTGGTGGAATACTCTGTCCCATGAGACCAGACCCTGCAGGGTTTAACTTTCTTCCGCAGGGCCTGTAAGACAGAGCTATTCCGCCTGGCTTTCAATTTGAACTTAACCTGATCTTTTATTCCCCTTCCTTCCCTCCCCCTCCCCTTTTTATGAAGATTACCCACTCTGGGATCCCACAGCTAATTCTCCCCTGGTCTCCTCGCTGGCCCAAATAGGACCAATTTAGCCAGCTAGCCCTGGTGATCACCTAATGTTTATTGGATGAATTTCCCCCCTAAATTGATTTTTGAATTCTGAATTTATTGTCATTCACGTTTTATACTATATTTCATGTTGTTTTTTGTTGCATCAATTAAGTGTTTTAAATTTGTTGTTAGCCGCCCTGAGCCCGGTTTTCTGAACCGGGAAGGGCGGGGTATAAATAAAAATTATTATTATTATTATTTATTAATTTATTATGTACAGCCAGTTGCTCACCCTCAGACTAACCCAAGGGTAAAAAGGAGGCAACACGTGGTGAGGATAAAATGGGACGAACATGCATGCAAGCTTAAGCCCCTCGGAGGAAAGGTAGGATATACAGTGGTACCTCGGGATGCGAACGGGATCTGTTCTAGAGCCCCATTCGCATCCTGAACGCAATGTAAGCTGTGACGACACATCTTGCTGCTTCCGCGCATGCGCGTGACGTCATTTTGAGCATCTGCGCATGCGTGAGCGGTGAAACCCGGAAGTAACGCGTTCTGTTACTTCCAGGTTGCCGCGGAGCGCAACTCGAACGCACATTCATCCCCGACCCCGTGGATCATCTAGTCCAAGCCCCTGAAATGCAAGAATCCCAACACTGTAGAATAAATGCAGACTCTCCGAGTGTCAGGCTCCATTTACAAGAAAGGAATAAACATTCCCCATGATTCCTAAAAAATGGCTGGCTGAAGAAGCATTGCAATTTAGTAATTTGAAGTGGATTGGTGACCTTTTTCTTCAAAACTATAGGAAGGGCTTCGTAGGCCAGCTTCTTTTCCTTCATTTGGTGCAGGTATTTTCAGATCCTCCAAGTGTCCCTATTTTCCAGGGACAGTTCCAGATTTACAGAAGTCGGGCCGGTTTCTGATTTGATCCTGGAATGTCCTATCCCTGTTTTTCCTTAGGACATTCCTATTTTCATCGGAGAAATGATGGAGAGTATGTAAATGACATAAATGAATATGCCTTGTGGCTATAAGAGACAGGGCCTTGTCTGCTGCAGCACCCAAACTCTGCACCTATTCTTGTCCTCCCATGTGTGGTATTTAGGACCATTTACCGTATTGACCCAAATATAAGCCACACTTTTTCCCCCCAAATTCTGACTGTGAAAAGTTAAAGTGCGGCTTATATTCGCGACCTTACAAAAATGGGCTTTTATGATATCGTTGCTGAAACAGCTGCCCTAGGTCTGTGGCCGTGCCTTGCCTACCAAGGCCGAAATGGAGAGCGCGGCCCCCCCCGCCCCCCAGGAAGCCACCACGAGGACCATTGGGGGTGCGAGACAACAATCCCCGTCCGGACCGCTGTTCACAAGCCTCCCCAGAACTGCTGGAAAGAAGGGGGAAGGGGGGAAGGCCGCCGGCAAAGTGGTGTGGCTCCCCCCCAGGAAGCAGACTAGGAGCGCGGGGGAATGGTACCCGTAGTATTTTCTTCTACATTTGCCATTTACGGGTGTGAGTGCCTGCGGAATTTTAAGGGAGCGGCTTATATTCAGGTATTGACTCCCCGCCCCCTTAATTTTAAAAGTGCAGCTTATTTGTAGGGGCGGCTTATATTCGGTCCAATACAGTAATTGGGTTTAGCACCCATTTTTATCATGCTCTGATCGTTATCTGTATTTGTCATTTTTTTTAGAAAACTCTCGAATAAATTCTAATAAGGCACAAAATTGATAGTGGTTTATAAAGATTGGCCTTCTAAGGCACTTTGGGAGTACCTGTCAAAAGGTAGATTAAATCCATTTAATAAACAAACCAAAGGTTCCTATTACTTCCTCCAGCTGCTGTTCAGCGATCAGGGATGATGGAAGCCAGAGGTCATATTCATAAATTAGGCCTCCCCTTTGCTAAATTCACAGCTTAGCATTAATTTTTACTACATTCTCAGATTTTAAGAGCAACCATGTCTCAGATTAAAGCTGGGGAATGTGAGGCGTGATCCTTCTAGGACAGGGATCAGCAACCTTTTTCAGGCATGGGCCGGTCCACCATCCACAGACCATGTGGTGGGCCGGACTATATTCTGAAGGAAAAAAATGAATGAATTCCTATGCCCCACAAATAACCCAGAGATGCATTTTAAATAAAAGCACATATTCTCCTCATGTAAAAACACTAGGCAGGCCCCACAAATAACCCAGAGATGCATTTTAATTAAAAGGACGCATTCTACTCATGTAAAAACATGCTGGTTCCCGGACTGTCCGCGGGCCAGATTGAGAAGGGGATTGGGCCGCATCCGGCCCCCGGGCCTTAGGTTGCCTACCCCTGCTCTAGGGAGCAAACTCCATTGGATAGATTGCATTTGTAGCCGTTGTAGCCCTGGGAACTTCCTCAGAGTAAGCCCTGGGTCAGTGCAAACAAGCGACCCTTGGCTACAGCTCGTGGTCTGTTTGGAGCGAGACCAACCATAAGGCCCGTGTCCAGAGGGGACGCTCAGCCAAACTACCACTCAGCTCTGGACGCTGTGGCAGCAGGACATGGGGAAAAGTGAAGCAGAACCACAAGTGTGGCTCCCTGTATGCCCAATCTGACTCACTGCAAAGCTGAGCAGTAGATTTGCTTCATGTTACGTGTTAGCTCCAAAAATTTGTGTTTATCAAGAGAGTCGTTTACTACAAGAAGCACACCAATTTTTACTTCATTTAGCATGACTTTATTGGCTTGTTTTGTTTGACAGAGAAAATGGATAGTAATAAAGTACTGAATTCCACATGAATCAGAAAAAAGAAAGGGCGAAGGTGGTACACAATCAGAGTGGCTGGGGAAACCCAGCCAGATGGGCGGGGTATAAATAATTTATTATTATTATTATTATTATTATTATTATTATTAAGAGTGCAGCTGTGGACAAGCCTTGACAAAGCGGTGGACAAAGGTTGCCCAGTGCAGGAGCCAAATCAAGAACTGGATAAATACTAAATATCCTGCAAGAGGACAGAATTCAACAGATAAAAGCAAGGCCCCAATATATATTGACTTGGCCAGAAGAGGTTGGCTGCTTGCATTGTTAGAAGCATTTGCGGTGGACGATGGATGGGCCAGACTCATCGTACTCCTGCTTGCTGATCCACATCTGCTGGAAGGTGGAGAGAGAGGCCAGGATGGAGCCCCCGATCCACACCGAATATTTGTGCTCTGGCGGGGCGATGATCTTGATCTTCATTGTGCTGGGGGCCAGGGATGTGATCTCCTTCTGCATCCGGTCAGCAATGCCAGGGTACATGGTGCTACCACCAGAGAGCACCGTGTTGGCATACAGGTCCTTGCGCATGTCCTTATCGCATTTCATGATGCAGTTGAGGGTTGCCTCGTGGATGCCAGCCCACTCCAAGCCCAGGAAGTGGGACTGGAAGAGGGCTTCAGGGCACCGGAAGCGCTCGTTGCCAATGGTGATCACCTGCCCGTCCGGCAGCTCATAGTTCTTCTCCAGGGAGGAGGAGGAGGAGGCGGCCGTGGCCATCTCCTGATCAAAGTCCAGGGCCACGTAGCAGAGCTTCTCCTTGATGTCCCGCACTATCTCCCTCTCAGCTGCGGTGACGAAGTTGTAGCCCCTCTCAGTCAGGATCTTCACGAGGTAGTCAGTCAGGTCATGGCCAGCAAAGGGAAGGGGCCTTTGAGTGAAGGGCAGGGCATAGCCCTCATAGATGGGCACAGTGTGGGTCAAACTGTCCCCGGAGTCGATGACAATCCCGGTGATGCGGCCAGAAGCATAGAGCGACAGTACGGCCTGGATGGCCACGTACATGGCTGGCGTGTTGAAAGTCTCAAACATGATCTGTGTCATCTTCTCACGGTGGTTCTTCAGGTTATTGGGGGTTTCTGCGAGCAAGACTGGGTGCTCCTCGGGGGCCACCCGCAACTCGTTGTAGAAGGTGTGGTGCCAGATCTTCTCCATGTCATCCCAGTTGCTGACGATGCCATATTCGATGGGGTACTTCAGGGTGAGGATACCCCTCTTGCTCTGTGCCTCAGCCCCCACGTAACTGTCCTGCCCTAAGCCTGCCATGGCATCTTGGTCCCTGGGCCTCCCCACAACCATGGGGAAGACCACCCGGGGGGCGTCCTCTCCTGAAAAACCTGCTTTGCATGTCGTAGAGCCATTGTCAATGACCAGAGTGGCAGCCCCATTCTCAGCCATTTGGAGCAAGTCTGCAGGAAATAAACAAAGAGTTGTTTACCCCCCCAGATAATATTCATGTTTTGGTTTATGAATATTCCAGAACTCATTGCAAGGGAGGAAATGTGCTCATATAAACAATTTTCAAGTACAGTGGTACCTCGGGTTACAAACGCTTCAGGTTACAAACACTTCAGGTTACAGACTCTGCTAATGCGGAAGTAGTACCTCGGGTTAAAAACTTTACCTCAGGATGAGAATAGGAATTGTGTGCCAGCGGTGCGGCAGCTGTGGGAGGCCCCATTGGTTAAAGTGGTACCTCAGGTTAAGAACAGTTTCAGGTTAAGAAGGGACCTCCAGAACGAATTACGTACGTAACCAGAGCTACCACTGTATCTAAGACTGCTTTACCCCATGTTCAACTCTCCATTTCCATCCCTTTCCCCTGCCAATCTTTGGACAACAGGAAGGACACATGGAGGAGCTGTCTCAGTGACCCGAACCAACTGCCACTAGAACAGTTCTCCTAATTCAAGGTCTCCTTCCGTAGCCACTCCATTTCGTGGTTTTGTTGGTAATGGTTTTTTTTAATAATAAATATCTATGTACCGTGACTTCCGGCGAGGCATCATGGCGGAAGCCACGGCAGCGAGCATCTCCTGAAGCCAGCCAGAATCAATTGGGTTTACCTGGCTGGTTCCGGACCGCTGGGACTGCTGCTGCTGCCACCACCAGAACCGGCAAGGAACCGGTTGAGCCCAGCGCAGCAACTGAGGGAGCTGCCAGGTACAAAAGCCAGGACACTCATCCACCCGGCCGACTGCCCAGGGACAATCGGAGACCTAAGCCAGGAGAGAGGAGAGGGGAGAAAAGAGGGGGGGGGACAACCAAAAAACAAACACAGAGCCCCACCTGCTGCTGCCAGGAGGGCAAGGGAAGCCGTGAAAAGACACGTGGCTGAGCCTGACCCGAGCTTCCTCCCCAAGCAGGAAGAAAGCAAGAGGAAGGCTGCGCAAAACCCTGTCCTGCTTTTTTCAATTATTTTTTTTTACTTCCTTTTTGTGTGCGAGTGCTTTTTACTCCCCCCCTTTTTTCTTCTATTTTTTAAAAAAAACAAATTACCAAGCAACTTTTTTATATTATATTATTCTCATTAACTCTATCCTCTACTTTTTTTTAATACAGAAAACTCCCCCCCTTTTCATATATTTTTAACCCCCTTTTAAAAAAACAACTCCCCTTTTTTTTCCTTCCCCCCTTCCCTAAATCTTCAGCCCTTTCGCTAAATTATTATTACCACCATTTTTAAAATACGTCCATATATTACCTAAAAACACATTTTCCACCCCCCCAAAAGGGAGGGGACGTTTTGCTGTTGCTGTTGTCCTCTTTCCTTCCCTCCCAATATTTTTTACTTTATTTTTACCAGACAAGCCGCCCCTCACTAACATATTTCCCCTAGTTTCTGTATTTCGTTTTATTTTTACCCCAGTCTCTACCCCCATTTCTATTTTTTTTTAAAAGGGGGAAACACTTTGTTTTTAATTACTATTTTTTATCATCATTATTACTTTTTTAAAAAATCCTTTTTATTATTATTATTATTATTATTATTATTATTATTATTATTCCTCTTTTCCTCTTAGTCCCCCTTTAGTTTCTTAGTTTGTCTGTTTTTGAGGAGGGAGCCTTACCTTCCCCCCATTGTCCTGCAACTACAATATTACCATCCTCTCTGAAAATTAAAATAAAATAAAAATACTCCCCCCCCCCCATATCAGTGCTATTGCCACTGGTGCCCTTCCCCCCTACCTTTTTCTTTTCCTTTCTTTTCCTTTCCTCCCCCCCCTTCTCTCTCTCCCCTTCTGTTATGTACTGAGTTGAATAAGATCCAAACTGCAGCAGTCTGATTGGTCCTAGAACAATAGGATCCAAAAGGCAGCAGTCTGATTGGTCCTAGAACCACCCAATCATGCTCCAGATAGAAGTGAATCCACAACCTGATTGGCTTACAGTAGAATTCCAGAATTAGCCAATCATGTGCAGCCCATTGTGTAAATAATGTATATAAAGCAGATACTTTGAGGGGACTTTCATTCATTCCTCCTCACCACTATGAGCTGAATAAAGAGCATGAAATCACTTTGCGACTCTGAGTATATTTCACCTTCCCCCCTCCTTTTTAAAAAGAACACATACACATTATTATATTAAATTTGCCCCTCTCAAAAGGGCTCTCTATACATTTTCATTTCTACATTATTTTTACCTTTGGCATTTGATGCCAGGCATCACAACTTCATTTGGCATTTGGCATTTGATGCCAGGCATCACAACTTCAACATCTTCAGATCTCTCACCTTCCCGCCCCTGCCCCCCCTTTCCCTCTTTGATTTAGTCTGCTTCTCTAGTCTCTCTTACCCTCCTAACCCTAAAATCTACATACACATACCTCCCCACACACTTTTATTAACAATCCCCCCCAGGGGTCTTACCTCATACTATTACTAGAACCACCACTGCAACCAAACATTTTCATCTTTCCTTGTGTCTTCCCCCCTTTTTCTCTCCTTCCTTCCTTCCTTCCTTCCTTCCTTCCTTCCTTCCTTCCTTCCTTTTCTCTCTCCCCTCTTTACTTTACTCTCACTTCCATCCCTCCCCTCCCCTGCTTCTCCCCCTTTCCTCCCCTCCTTTTTCACCTTCAACCTCTATACTGCTTTGCTGGGTTCTGTTCCTGAACACATCCTTGCCAACCTTAAATTCCTAATTCTTTACTACGAACCCCTAACCTCTCCCTCCACCCTCGACTGGACCCCAATACTCCTTTCGTGAGGATCCGTGCACAGACGTGTACACACAGGTGCACCCACGAATAACCCCCCCAAACATACACTCTCCCTCTGACCCCACCCACCAGTCTCTCACACCCCTGCCTACCAGCCCCTTTATGTGAACCGTCTGTCTGTTGGCTTACTCATCTGTCTGCTTGGCTGCCCCCCCCCCCCCGCAACACTGCTGAGGTGACTGCGGGAACCCCAGAGAAGCTCTTAAAGCACAGCCCAGACGGGACACTAATGACCGCCTAATCTAAGCCACCAGTCAACAACGCCTGTTCAGCTCAACAGATCAGCAACACCCAGGAATCACCACAACTCCTAACCACAACACGCCCTGCTCCAAGAGGATGCCAAGCAAATTTGAAACCAAAAACACCAACGAGACTGTGATGACACCAACCAGGGAGATGGCAAGCAGCACCAAGAACACAACACCACCACCCCCAAGATGACAACGACCCAACAAAACAAGAACTGAAGAAAGTGAAAATGAGACTAACAGAACTACTCAAAGCATTCAGTGACATGACCTCCAAAGTGGAAACCCTAGAAAATAAGAACCAAATACAAGAAAGAATAATAGAGAAGTACCGAGAGGAAAACACATGTGTCAGTAATAAAGTGGCTAAACTGGAAAGCCACCTGGAAATAAGAAATATGGAAAACACAGCCATGAAAATCAAACTGGCAGACTTAGAAGACCGTAGTAGACGCTGCAACATCTGCTTCCGCAACTTTCCTGAAAAAGTGGAGGAGAAAAGCCCAGCAGACCTAATTGTATGCTGGCTGAAAAATACAATCCCAAACCTGACACTTGAGGTAGACGACCTAGAGAGGGCTCACAGAGCCCTAAAACCTATACCGAAACCCAACGCCCCCCCACGAGACATCATTGTATGCTTCACATGCTACAAAAAGAAAGAAGAGGTATGGAACAACCTCAGAAACTCAACAACAAGCCTTCGATATGGAGACAACCCCATATTGGCCTTACAGGATTTATCTCAGGATACCCTAAATCGGAGGAAAAACCTACACCCATGCACCCAGCACCTCCAACAAGCAGGGATCAAGTACTGATGGGGCTTCCCCTTCCACCTTATAGTAACAACCAACACAACACAACACACGGCTACCAACATACCTGAAGCCCTGCAACTACTGAAGAACCTCAAACTCGACCCTCCACTGGAATGGCAACCGACAGACCCACCAAGTGACAGTCATGACCACCACGAGGAAACAACACCAAACAATTGGACAACAGTAAAGAGGAAAAAGAAGCAACAGAAGCGACACAACAATGCAAACCAGCACATCCAACCACCACCACGCACAGAAGCATCCTGCCGAACATGCAGCGCAAGGCAACAGACCAGGATCAACCAAATCAACACATCACAGATGGACGACCCTACAACAACAACCACAGCTGAATGAAGCACCCAGAAAACACCTCAAACTGAAGGACTGGTGATTCCCCCCTTCCTTCCCCCTCCCCCTAGGCCATAAATATAGCCAACACCATCAGCACCCCCCCAGCCCTGCATCTCCACCAACGCCAGTCCAGATGACTTCAAACCATATTCCCCACCACCCAACAACCCACATACAGGCTAAAATCTGACACCCAATCAGCACAATGGTGGCACCAGAGTGTACCAACACCCACATCCCCACCCCAACATATTGCTAATAACATGTCGCTAATAACACTGGCAACACTGCTTATGAACCCTATACCCGACATTGGCGTCACAAAGATGCTTAACACCGTCTCACTGACCACCCCCTATCGCAAACGACAGGGAGGATGGTCTGCCCCTGAACTAGGCCATCCACACCAGCTGAGACCCAGGGCCAACCGGCTAAATGCCAGATAGCCCAAAATACCCCTAACAAACACCTATATGACTACATATAGGATACTCTCTATAACCTATCCCCCCACTCTTTAACCCAAATCTGATCCTAATCCCCCACCCACCACATGCTAGGTCAGCCAACCCCATTGGTTTGTTAAACAACACAAAGTGAGAGACACAGGTCAACCTGGATGAGTTGGCAAGGAATCACCCTACATAATAGATAAGCAAGATGGCTAGCCTAAAAGCAATTACACTAAATGTGAGGGGGCTGGGAAACCCCATAAAAAGAAAACACATCACCTCATACATAAATACCATGAAACCACACATCACCTTCCTGCAAGAAATACACAACCCACCCAAAGGGAGCAAACTCCTGAGGGACCCCCACTTCAGTCAACAGTGGGCCACATGAGGCTGAGGGAAAGCTTGCGGCGTAGGTATAATACTGAGCAGAGACCTGAACTTCACTGCCACAACAGTCCTAAAGGACAAAAAAGGCAGATTCATTTTTGCTAAAGGGACACTAGATGGCAAAATCAAACTGACAGTCGGCTCCCAAACTCGAAACAACTAGAATTCTTTCAGAAGACACTAAACAAATTCCTCTCCTTTTATGAAGGGGAAGCAATCCTAGGAGGGGGCCTCAATCTAAATATGAAAGGTATATCCCTGAAAGACATCCACCCTACAACCCCATGGGCAACCTTCCTCCAAAGGAAACCCCCAACAACTAGGAACTCTTACAGGTTATTAAAAATGTTAAAAAACGGGGGTCTCTACGGCATTTGGGGTGAGCAAAACCCGGGAGACACCAGCCATACATTCCAATTTGGACGCCATGGTACAGTGTCCAGACTGGACAGCATTCTGCTCACACAGGGTCTGATCTCCTCAGTGGAATCAACGAACATAGGTAACATTAAAATCACAGATCACGCTCCAGTAGAAGTCACCATTAAAATAGGAGAAGGAACACAAACCACCCAATCATGGTCCTTCAGCCCCATCCTAACTACAAACAAACAAATTAAAGAGAGTCTCACAAAAACTCTCCAAAACTACTTCAAGGAAAACGATGTAGACAATATAACAACTCCCCTCCTATGGGATGCAATGAAAGCGGTCACCAGAGGAGCTTGCATAAAAGAGAAAGCATTCCTTAAAAAACAAACCTCCTCAAAAATTAGCAAAATAGAACAAGACATCACAGCCCTCTCATCACGCTACAAACAAACAGGATCTAAAAAACTCCTCGAACTTATAGAACAAAAAAGGAGAGAACTAGATTCCCTAGAAATCAACAAAACAATGATCAACATTCTATACTCTAAACGACGTTTCTATGAATATGGAGGGGAAAACTCCAGATTACTAGCAAATAGATGTAGGAAAAAAGCACTCAAAACAAGAATACACTGCATCACCAAAAAAGATGGCAACATAACATTCACCCCCAAAGAAATAACCTCAGAATTTGCAGAATTCTACTCCAACCTATACACCTCCCATAACCCACCAGAGAAGGAAATCAGAACATTTCTAGCAGGACTGACCATGCCTACCCTAACTAATGAGGAACAGGAATTCATGGACAGCCCTATCACCCCAGAGGAAATAGATGCGGTCCTCAAAAACCTGAAACCACACAAAGCCCCAGGCCCAGACGGCTTCACAGCAGAATTCTATAGGAAATTCAAAGAACCCTTGATGCCCTACATGACCCTCCTATTGAACGACATCATAAAAGGGGGGCCCATCCCCCAAACCTGGACCCACTCCAAAATAGTCTCCATCACAAAACCACTAAAAGACAGCCTCAAAGTAGAATCATACCGCCCAATCTCATTAATAAACCAAGACTTCAAGATATTCACATCAATCTTGGCCAACCGCCTAAAAACCTTCCTACACAAGTTAATAGCCCCAGACCAGACTGGCTTTGTCCATGGCCGCAATATAACAGACCCCATCAGGAAACTACTGAACCTGATCGAACACAGCAAGGCAACTAAACTCCCATGGACAATTATGTCCCTAGACATCCTCAAAGCCTTTGATTGCTTAGAGTGGAAATACATATTAGCAGTACTAACTAACATTAAATTTGGCCCCAACTTCCTACAAATCCTCAAACAAATATACTCCCAAGCCTCAGCAGAATGCAGAACTAACAATATGGATTCTAATACTATAGC